TCTAGCCCTGCTCGCCAGAAAGACCCCCCCCTTCACTACAACCCATGTCTAAGCAAAAACTTGTCGAGGAGCGAGGGGAAGAAGGGAGAAGTAGCTGAGATTATTTCAATCCGTCTTAACGATGAATCGGCTATCGCTTACTGTTTTGCGAGAACGGTTTCGGCGTTCTTGACATAGTAGCAGGTTGACTTGCTGTCGAGGGTCCTGTTTTTTTGTAGAGATGCTCATCATTCCAACTCCCCATCGTACAGCAGGCATGTAGCACGCATTCTCCCTGCACTGCTGCTGCTACACTTTACATCTAGAGTGCTGTGCTTGCCTTACATGGTATAGGGGATCTCGCGTATGAACCACAAGCAGCTCTAACGAGCAGTTGCTACGTCTACGTTTCGAAAGTAGTGTTGAGATTTGTCGTCGGGGAGACCTTTCCCCTCATAGCTCAATCTCGACACCCATTACGTAGCGCGTCCTCTGCTTCTACTGCTGCTGTTGTAGCGGCCCTTCGCGGATAGGGTCTGTTGCATGTTGTGCTTGTCTAGCCGGACAATACAAAAGGGGTATATTGTTCTGTTTCTGTTTTTCGCGAAGAGGTGGACTACAGTAGAGCACGACTAGAGAGTATGACAGAAGGGGGGTGAAGAGGAAGAAGACGAGAGAGAGGGCTTGTAGGAGCCTAAATATGATGTGCCTGAATGCCTTATTACTTCTGCTCGGTGTGGAGTCGCTGCGCTTGCTGGTACAACATACAACTTTATTCACGGCATCGCTCCATCTTTCCACCGAACATACTTCTATGTCATCGGTTTCGGAGCATCTCGCTCGGAAGATTCCGTCTGATTCTGGTGTTTGTCTCGGGAGACCCTATTTGCAGGATTGTTTTGCAACGAAATTCTGCAGGATGGAAAGACGTCCGATCTCGTCAAGTATGGAGGTAGGCGAGGGGAGGTTACGACATGCCGTGTTTGATCGGCTTTGGAGGAAGGCGCATTCATAAAATCGCCTATCACACGCCTCCTCGACCGACAAGCAAGTGTTCTGAACCACAGGACTAGACGTAAAACGATTCGGACCTTCTTCATTTATTCTTGGGCGTCGAACGGGTGTGCGTCCTCACGATGTCGGATGAGTTCGTTCTGCATAGTTCGGAGTGCACTTTTTGATCACGCAGAGCCTCTACAACGACCACTTGGGCAGCCCGTTTCAATCCAGCATCTGCAACGAGAACAAACGCACGAACGTAGTGTGGACGACACCATTGTTGGGCTAAATACGACGCTGCCCGACGAACACGGACAACACACTAGTTCGGCTACACACCAAACTTGCCGAACTTCTGCACGTTGCGTTCCGTGGGAAGGCATACTTGAGCACACCCACAATCAGTACACAACGTCAACCTATCAACGCGTCTTTTGCTTCAAGATTCCAAGCAATACAGCACAAACGTTTGCCTCCAACGTCCGGGGGCGTAGGCGGGCAACGCCATTTTCGTG